TATTGCCCCCACGCATGCGCAGTGTCGTACGTGCTACTCTGGCCGTCGCTGAAAGTCTTTGCGGTGTTGACACACACAGTCGGGTCCTTCGGGACGTGTTCCTTTTGTTGTCAGTTTTGTTGTGTCAGGGCTTTAAATTGTACTCCAAACATATATTGCGTGTGTTCTCCCCTCCGCGGAGTACTCAGAAAGCTGGGAGGCCTCCTGTCAGTCGGGCAGAGAGACGCTGTCATCTACCACGCCGGCCTTGGCCGACCGCCTTCAACAAGCTGAGCGGCCAGCAGCGCCCCCGCACATGACCCGCAAAGCGAAGGCTGGTTCTTTCGTTTCTGAGAGCCTGAGGAGTTCGTGTCAAGCGTGGGGGGCTGCTCTGCGTCAAATAACCACTGGATAACTCCGCTGGGACCTGTCTGTTGTTCTTCTTGTATTTTAAAGAAACCAATCACTAGATGAATGATTTAAACTTCATTTTTTAGAACAATCAATACACGCATGCCCCCCCTGGCTCCCCACAGATCCCCTTGCTCCGCCTCTAAGAAACCTCCTGGGTAGCCCGAGCAGCTGGAGGGATCCATCACACTGAACGTTTACCTCCGCTTCTGCAACTCGCTTCGGATTTCTCTTTTTTTTGTATTTTCCTCCGCCCTCCTCGAGTTGGTGCAGTGGGACACACTCTGTTAAGTTGAGTTGATACAGTGATGATTGGCAGAGCAGATGTGCATGAGCAAGTGATGACTTAAATGGTGTCAACAGTGCGACCGAGGGTGTGGTGTGGGCTGATCGCGCACGTAGATCTCTAGTAGAGGCAGCGCGGCGCTGGAGATAGAATGCGGTCATCGATGCAGCGACTTTAAGTGCATCTGTACATGCAGCAAGATAGAGGAAGGAAGATGGAGCACCTGAGGAGAGACCGCAGCGCGGAGAGAGCGCGCAATCACATCGACATCGAGAGTACAGGATCCGACCTCGCATGAGTCGATGCGATGAGAAGTGCGCGTATGCCGCATTCTCTGAAGTATTACCGTTTCCGCTACTTTTAAACTCAGACTCCCGTTCTCATGGTGTCTTTGTTGATCTTGTACTGTTTCATTCTCTGTGAAGACTGACCTTGGGCGTTTATCTCTTCAATAACACCCCCTTACCTTCTGTCCTTCTGTTTGTTAATCGAGTTCCTGTGCCTTTTCAGCATGCCAGATTAAATTAATAAATAATGTCGGATACCTTTTAAAATGTTTCTTTTGGATAAACATACCTTCTCTTTTTTTAGAGGAGAATCCACCTCCCCTCGATGCGAACAGTGTCTTCACGACTGTGTTCCTGCACAAGAAAAACCTCTGAGATTGACTTTGCTGACATTGAACTACAGAAGTAAACCCAGATATGGATTTCATTCTTGTTTGGTTAGCAGTGTGTAAAATATTGATAAATCATTCCAAGTGGAGTGTTTTATCCCGCATATTACTGTATGTTCAAACTTTTTCAGATTGTGGGCCGTGGGCATTCTTGCAGGGAAAATACAAGGGATCCATGGTTGCTGTGAAAGTTTTCCGTGCTACCACAGCACACAGTGCTACTCACTGAGAATGCTGTTTTAGTATTGACAAGATACATGAACTGATATAGCCTGATCAAATGTTTAAGATAGTTGATTTAGTTTGTCAATATAGGTAAAAAAAAATCTCACTTTCAAAGGGATTTGTGCTGCAGGGGAGCTCTGACAGATTGTTCGGGAACTGTGCCCGGATGCTTCGACTGAACCGCTCAGTGTGTATGAACAGATTAATGAATCTTCACTTCTCTTAACTCTTATTGAATATGTTTTCCCTTTTATGCGCGCGCGCACTCCTCCTCCTTGTACACCTCCCTTCCTACCTCACGCCACTCCTCGCCTCGCTCTCACTCTCTCGTCCTTCCCTCCACCCCCCCCACTACTCTCTCTCAGCTCTCTTCATCACCTTCACGCACTCTCGCTACTCACTCTCTCACGCCCTCTCGCTCAACGCATCGCTCTCTCTCTCCTCCTTCTCCTGACGCGCACACTGCTCTCTCTCCTCTCTCTCTCTCTCTCACTCTCCTCAAATACTCTCTCACACACTTCTCATTAAGTAACTCTGTTATCCCAGAAAAATGATACAACAATTAAAACACTCCGTATATACATTGCACCATGAAAATAAAACACCAATGTTTTTGCGACACTACATCCGCCCTTCACTTTAGCCAATCTATCCCTGCTCTCACTTCCCCCCTTGTTTGTGTCACTTTTACTATTTTAGGTAACTATGCATGGGGTAATGATTTTATATTGAAATAATCAATGTTCTGAAAGTAAAGATAACTCACAACAAACAATTACACTTAAAGTAATATGGGCATGTTTTCATCAGCAGTCCATTTTACTTCAGATATGTGGGCAGGCAGTCAAGCAACGTGTAAAAAAGCCTCAACCCCAAGTGAGCTTGTAGTCTTAATAAGTAATGTTAGCGTGTGTGCTTAGCTGTAAACACAGTCGGATGGGTGACCAAAACGTCCCCGTTTTCGGTGGCCGGTACCCGGTTGAAACTCCCGAAAATGTTCCCGTTTTTGAATGTGCGTTAAAAAACATAGAGCAAGGGGAAATTAAATGTTATATGTTAGTAAAAACAGAGTAACAGTGTTGTTCCTGTTTGTAGCGTTAGCGTATTTCTTCTTCTACCTTCTTCTTCTACCTCTACTTCAATGTACCTGCCCGCGAAATATTGGACAAAAGAAACTCGGCTAGTAGTGTCAACTAAATCCATAGTATTACAACAAAAGTGCTTTAAACGAGGTAAATTACGAATTTATGTTCTCAATCGCTAAGTGTGGGATTGAATATTACTTTAGTTTGGATTCGATTTATTGTCCCCAGGGGGGAATTCATTTCCACAGCACTGTTGTCGTGGTAATCTGTATTATATAAACCGTATTCGTAGAATGAGCGACATCTAGTGACAGATTTTGGAACATTGATTTGATTTTTCTCATGGCAGTTAGAATCTAGAGACAACCAGGGGACTTTATTTTTAATCTGTGTCTGTCCATTTGGTGTAGTATTTGATCCAATATTACATTTGGTTTATATATTAGTCACTTTCTTATGAGATGCCAGGTTTTAGGCCTTGGTTTGAACATTCAATCCTGAAAATAAAAAATCAACCAGATTCATTTTTTCTTTAATCCTGATATAGCATAGTAAGTAAGTAAATCTCTATAGGAAGACGAGTTAAGGGATAGAGGAGAAAAGGTTATGGTATAATTACAGAGCCTGTCCATTTATAAATTGAGGAAATCAATGTTAGTCTGTTAACCAAAGTGCAGCCATTTAATAATGTACTATCTATATTAAAGATCAGAGGAAAAGAACAGAATGAGAGGGGTAAATCCGGAATAAAAATAAAGAAGCAAAGCAGTAGAGCAGTGAGAAGCAAAAAAGCTTGGTGTGTCCATTAATTACATTGCCAGTATTTTCCGTTGTGAAAAAAAAATCGCCCCCTCGGATTTTTTTACAGCCCCCTCAGTCATTTCATCCTGGAGCCGGGCCTGGTGCGATGTCCTGTTCAGATGACGTAAAATCCAACGGGATGCCATAAATAAACTACACAGAATCACACTACACACCTACGCAATGATTACATTCAGGCAGACTGTAGAATACAACCTCTTTGGACAATTGATATACTTATTGAAAACAAGCTACCAAATGTAATACCTTGGGAAAATCCCGTTTAATACTTTTTAATAGCCTTAATTTTCGCTAAATTGATTCATCAACTTTTAATACTTTTTAAGACCCCGCGGACGTATGGTAGCCGAAATGCCAATGTGAGGATAGGAACAATAACATTTATTACTAAAATAGATAAAAGACCACACATGACACCAGTGTAAAGAAAGCAGCAGAGGCCAGGACATTTTATACAATAAGTTTATGTACACTTTTACACTTCTTTAACAAAACAGTCTTCTAACAATAACCAGTCTGGGCTCTGAACGCGGAGGTGGCTCTGCTCCTTTTTATTTGGTTTGTTATTGCTGTCCTTCAGCTCAAACTGCCTTCCATCCAGTGTGTTGAAGAGTGAAACGTTGGTGTGTGCTGCTGTAGAAAAATACTACTGAAGTTAAATCTGCTAAACTTGAAAGAGACCCGAGCCTTTGAGTCCCAGAGGGAGGACGCTGCAATATAATACTACGACCCAAAGTAGAGAAAACATATCAAACTGCAAAAAAAAAGCGGTCAAAACAGAGTCGCTCCCTCCTCATATGAACTTTATACAACGCTGAACTCGTACATCTCTTCCTGCCAATTAACTGGCATATAAAAACATTTCCGTCATGTTTTTTTTTGTCTTTGAAAAAACATTTCTCGTAGATTTGAAAACATTATATATATTTACACCTTTTAGTGAATCTGATTTTGGTTTTCTGTCCTCCTGTGCCGCGTCTTTCAACAACTCCACAGACCGGCCATACCCTCATCACACGTGTGTGTATGTGCGTGTTTCTGAGTGTGTGTGTTTTTTTGTGTGTGTGTGTGTGTGTGTGTGTGTGTGCATCCCCTTTATTCTCGGCGAATGGCAGGTACAGTTCTTTTGTCAGTTGGTGTGTGACAAACCAAAATCTGCACACACAGAACAATCAAAACAAAGGCACTCTGGGAAGGATTGGGGCGGTGTGTGTGTGTTACTGTTAAAATGAAATGTGTGTATGCCATGGCATTCTTGAAACAAAATGGCCCCTTTTTAATACTTTCAACTAAAAAAACCTCACTCTGAAAATAAACATCTCCTTCATTTATCAAAAACTGAAACTTTTTCTACCCTCAATGTCACTCGTGTGTGTCTGTGTCTCTGTGTGTGTGGTGTGTGTGTGGTGCTCCATCTCCTCTTTTTGTCACTAAGGTGAACATTTCTCCAGGAATCCTCTAAAGAGTCCGTCTGCTTTGCACTTTAGTCTCCATGTCAGCATATCTTCATCATCATCATCACTAAGTCTGTCAATCATGCTCGAGGGGCGGGAGGAAAAATACAAAAAAAGAGAAATCCGAGGAGTTGAGAAGCGGGTAAACATTCAGTGTGATGGATCCCTCCAGCTGCCTCGGCTACCCAGAGTTCTTAGAGGCGGAGCAGGGGGGGATCTTTTATTGATTTGTTTAAAAAATGAATTTAAATCATTCATCTATTGATTGGTTTCTTTAAAATACAAAAGAACAACAGACAGGGTCCCAGGCGGAGGTTTCCAGTGGTTATTTGACGCAGAGCAGCCCCCCCACGTTGGACACGAACTCCTCCAGGCTCTTCAGGAACGCCACCTTCTGTTTGCGGTCCATGGTGGGGGGGCTGCTGCTGGCCGTCAGCTTGTTGAAGGCGTCGGCCAGGCGCTGGTAGATGACAGCGTCTCTCTGCGACGACAGGAGGGCCTCCACCAGCTCTGAGTACTCCGCCTGAGGGGGAGAAACACACCAATATATTTTGAGTACATTTAAAGGCCCTGACACAACAAACTGACACCAAAGAACACGTCCCGAAGGACCCGACTGTTGTGTCAACACACCGCAAAGACTTCAGCCGACGGCCAAGTAGCACGTACGCACTGCGCATGCGTGAGTGGCAATAACTGTCCTTACCAGCAGGCGGCGGTAGTGTGTATTCGTCATTCAAAAGAGTCAACCGGAAGACAGACTGCGTGATATACACAAACAACAAATAGCTTGCGTTCCATTTTCACTCTCGTCCATCACAGACTGTTTCACATAACGACTTGTAATCAAAAACATGTTTAGTGTGGTACTGGAAAATGAAAAATAATAGCCGTGTGTGTGTGTGCCTTCTTCACTTCCGTTTCTCTTCTCATGCACTGATTCGCTAAGCTGAACAGCCAATCAGGGTGATTTATTTTGCCGATAGCGGAAGGTGTCGGCACGGCCTTAAGAGTAGAGCTAACATTATCAGCTGATAGACAGAAAAAAGCGTCTTGGTCACAATGTTTGTCCAGTAGAGGGCGCTGTTTGTTATAACTTTCTTGTTGCTATTAACATTAAAGAACAGCATTTTAAAAGGAGTCTCCTATCATTTCATCTCTTGACTTCAACCTCATGATAAATGAATTGGAAGTTAAAGAGTAAACCTCTGGAAGTTTTTTTTGTATAAAACCTCTGCTAAGAGAAGAAAATCAAAAAGGAAATCATTGATTGTCTTAAAAGCTTTTAGTTAATGCAGGCTATATGCAGGAGTCCTGGAGTCAAATGTAAGACCTTTTAAAGACCCTTTCCATACATTTTAAGACCTCATCGCCACTTTGAGTTCTAACCGGTAACCTTGGCGACACACTTTACCTCACATTGTCACTATATATCAGTATTGATTGTCTTCCTCCTTATCTTCCAATGGTTGGAAAGATAAGAGGAAGGACCATCAATACTGTATAACCTGTGAATGTGAAGGTAAAGTGTGTCGGCCAAGGTAACCGGTTAGACTCAAAGTGGCGAATGAGTTTAAAAATGATGGAAAGGGTCTTAAAACGGTCCCCCCCCCCTTTACATGTGAACAGTGCAGGATCCTGCTTATACCCTGATTACACTAAAACTTTCTATGACACTCTGTTTATCCTTTATTTGATTTTCTCTCTTGCAGAGGTTTTATACAAAAACACCTTCAGAGGTTTACTCTTTTAACTTCCAATTCATTTATTGCGGTTTGGCGGTGTGAGGGAGGCCCAGCTCCTTTCTCCGACTCGCGTTTTTTGCAGACTTATCGAAAGTTCGGCACAGCCCTGTTGGTTTTGACAGACGCTTGTCTATGTCATAGTACTGTCTATCAGGCCTCTTGATCATCCTCAAGGCCGTGTCGGGCTGTGTCAGACGGGCAAAATATATATAGTTACTCTTTATTTGGTCTGTGTCTCCTGCGTCGCTCGAGTTAATCTCTTCGCATGAGAGCGATAACGGTAAGAAGGGCTCGCTTTTTTTTTTTTTTTCCAGTTTATCCTAGCACTAAACATGTTTTTGGATTACAAGTCGTTTTGTGCAAACAGTCTTGTGATGGAACAGAGAGTGAAAATGGAACGCAGCTATTTGTAGTTTGTGTTTGTTCCATCACGCAGTCTGTCTTTCCGCGTTTTGATTCTTCTCTTGTTAATGACGAATACCACAGCTTATTTGTTTCACTTTCTTTGTCCAGCCTTGTCGCACGGACAGTTATTGCCACTTCATCACCTTGCGCCAGTCGATACGTGCATTCATTCATGGCCGTTTATCTTGCGCGCTGTAGTTCTTTCGCGCGTTCGCTGTTTCGTACACTACTCGGGTTCTTTGCGCTATCATCTCGCTGTCGTTATGTGCGAATATACCTCATTATAGGGCCTTTATAAATTTGCTTCCTCGCTCGACATATAAAGAGTTGGTAGCAGAGTGGTGGCGCGCCGCGCGCCGCTCGCTGGAGTGCGTTCGGTGAGGCGTTCTCCGTTGTTTTAGAGAACATGCGTCATGTCGCGCTCAGCTGACTGGACCGCGACGCTTCATATCAACCTAGACGGCAGCCTCAGGTCAGCAGCCCCCCACTTAATATCGCGCTGTCTTGCCAACGAAATGGTCTCCTCCTGCCGTATATGTGCCGCGCGTATCTATTCTCGCTTGTCACATATCGTGGTGTGGCGCGGAGAGCGTGTGCTTGCACCTCATCGAGAGCTGTCGCGACAATAAGCGCATCTCTCTGGAGAACTCGCTCTCTGTCGAGACCCTGTAGCTGAATCAAACTTGGTTGGCGAACTTTGGGACCCTACACCCAGCCGGCGCCGCGACTCGCCATAAAAGTGCCAACTTGCTGTGAAATCGTAAACGCGTTTCGCCGAAAAATGAACGACCTGAGATGTTTCTCAACCGTCAACAAACCTCAAGTATGTTTGCTCTCAAACAGCGCCAATCAATTCGCAGTGTGAATTCTTGGTTCTAAGAAAGTATCACACTAAACTTCCATGTGCTGGGCTGAACAAAAATCTGTTAATAAATGCACATATTTTTGGTATTCATTGTATTAAAATAAACTGCCGTACGGCATGCTTAACATGAAATTAAACGGAGGCCTTGTGACAGTGTAAGAGGGCTTTGGCCTAGGCGCTTAGTCATTGTTAGGCGTGCCGCTAAATCCTATTGGGTTTTTTTTTTTGTTTGAATCTCTCTTGGCTAAGTGGGGAGCTTGATTGTTAAAATCCTCTTTTGTGTTCTCAATTTGCAGCCAATACGAAAGGCCTAAAATAAACAGCCGGCTTGCATTCTAAGTGTAGACCAGTTTTGAAAAGTGAAGTAAGCCATCCTCCAATGCATACTAATGAAACAATTAGCGAGGGTTACACTTTTGAAAATCCACAATGAAAGAAGCCTTACTGCCAGAAGCATTAACTGTTATACCGTATTGACATTGACTCAATGCCAAATCGGCTGCATTCTCAGCATTTTGCTGAACAGCCAACAAAATGGAGAAGCGACATGGTTGACTTTTCGGATGTATCAATACCGTGGGAAAGGTTAAAGGTATAAGAGATCTCCGGCCCAGTTGCCATTCTTTATGCACAGTTCCTTTCCGACTTC